GGGGAAAGTTTAACCTTTTAACCAAAAGGTGGGGCCTTCTTCCCCGGTGGGGGGGATTAGGGTTTTTGGCCCCCCCAAAAAATATTTTCCTGGCCCCCCTTGGGGGTTCCCCCAAAAAAAAAAAGGGGGGAAAAAAAAAAAACGGGTACCTGGGTGGCGGATTTCAGAAAGGGATTGGGTTTTTTTAAAAAGGTGGTGACCAAGGGAAAGAAAACCCATTCCGGAGGGAAACCCCGGGGGGGGGGGGGGGGGGCGTTGTGTCGGGAGGGGTTCACGTGACGTGTAGTAAAGCATGAAACTGATGCCACGAAAAGTTATCGGTTCCAGCCACATGCAAGCGCGGAGAGGTGCGCGGTGAGGGTCTGTCTGCTTCTTGGGGCATCTTTCACGGAAACCCCCCGAGGGTTTCACGGTGTACAGTACCCTCCCTGCCTCCCGTGGCGCGTTGTTTTGCGCCAACCTTTGCTTCGTTTGTTCCTGCAACTACTAGCATCATGCACGCGCTCTCTGCAGTGCTGCTGCTGCCTGCTGATTCGGTTGCTGTCCTGTCAATCTTCAAAAGTCATGCCGATCTCTACCCAGTTCCTCCTCTTTCCTATACCCTCGATCCCGTGCACACCAAAACGTTGCTTCGGAAGAATAATCTGGGACGATTTTTTTTTTTTTTACGTGCGCTATTTTCTTTTCGAAATTCGACCCGGGTGGAATACGGGATATCTGACTATCAGACTTCCAACAAATCAACGCCAAAAAAATTACATCTAAGTAGCTGCGATTGGTCGAAGCGCAAGCGCCTCACGACGACCTCTTGATATCGAGAAAAAGTAATTCAAATCACCGGCAGCAGTCCGTGGGGAATGTCTACTCATCTGGATCGATATAGGTGGGGGAATATATATTTGATGCTTTGTTCGAACAGATGCCGACGTTGCTCGCTGCGGCGTGTCACCCCACTAGAGGGAAGATGGTAAAGGCGACAACGACTGTTATACTGCTGTCGTTGTCGCGCTCTCGCCACGTCGGGACACAGCACGGGGGAGAGTCTTTACACTCGCACACCACACACAACCGGGCTCCACAGCCGGCCCGTGAGCACAACCATAAGTCCTCCTCGAATGCTGGCGAACCGTAGCGCGAAAAGTAGCAGCAGCAGCTGCTGCCACCAGTCCCGCAGCATTTGCCGCCGTTCTTGTGGTTGCGCCCCCCTCCCGCCGAGGTTTGTGCCGGAGGGTGTTCCCGACCCTCGCAGCTAAGGGATCTCACTGGCCGCAGCCCGACCTCCACCACACAGCTGCAAACCAGCGCAACCTCAACCACAGCCTATTCGTTGTTTTGCCGCACACTACCACTCCAACTCTGGGTCTGGTTTTCGGAGAAGAGGATAGAAGACCCGCCGCACTCTTACTCAGAGAGTCCTGTGGATCTTGCTGCTCTAACTCGGGGTTGAGGTGTGAAATCGGCGGGTGCACAATTCCGGTTAAAACCGGGCCTAAGCACGGTCTAAGTAGCCGCAAAAATAGGTGCCTGGTACCAGGTAGACCGGTTGCTCGCCGTATATTTATATTGCGTGTGTAGAGGAGCGAACATCTCGGGGCTTCCTGAAGATTGGTAGGCGGCTCGATTTCATGGTTTTAGGCAGTACCAATACGATGTTCATGGATGCGTTTGCAGATTTCTCTTCGTGTCGCAGAGTTGGCGAACAGCGGAAGCACCACACCCACATCTGTCCACCCCCGCCATCAAGTGTCTACCACAGCAGTTAATCTGGGATGAGCATCTACACTGCTATAGTTACGGTATGTACTTGTAAAGAAGTCGGGTTTTGCGGTGGTTGAGTAGACTAATTTTTACGGCAGCTCGAAGGCTGTCGCATATATAACCCAAACGCACGAAGAAGTAACAGCAGTGGCATCCAGGGCGAGCACGCGAAAAATAATTGGTCAAGGGCAAACGACCACACTGCTGTGGCTGTGAATGCCGGTGCTTGTTGGTTCTGCCGTGGGTCACGCCTGCACGTTTGGAGTATCAACCTCTATTATAGCTAGTGTTGCACACATACGCAATGATCAAGAGAGAGAGAGGCGAGAAAACACTCTTGCGTTGGCCGTGTACCACACCGTTAGAGGTTTTGTCTCCGATTCAACAGCAATGGTGGACTACTCTCGCGGGGACACCCTTTGCTCCTCTGGTGAACACCATTCCGCCCCTTTGCACTTCACAGCGGGAGACAGCGATGCAAGGACCGGGTCGCTCACCTTTGGCATGTCGCTGCTGATGGGCCGGAAGTTGGTGTTGAACGAGTCGGCCAGGAGAATGGCCTGCAGCTTCTGCTCCTGCTCTTCCACCGCCGCACCCCCGCCTTTCCGTTCGCCCGTACCCTTCGGCATAGTGCTGCACCTCTCCTGCACTCTCCCCCAAGCGCGCTCTCTCTCTCCTAATCCCTCTCTCGCTTGCCTGCACCTCTGCTGCTAGCAGCTGTGCGACGACCAACTCGAAAAGGGCTAAGTTTTGCGAGCTGACCGCGAAGAAGCGCAGCAAAAAAATACGACGAGGCGTTTGCCGAGAGTACTCTTGGCTGCTGCTGCTCGCTCTCGTTTACTCGCGCGCTCGAAGCAACAGCGCGCACTTCGAGCGGCCAAGGAACGATCCGATGGCCTGGGGAGCTCCTCGTGGGGTGGATGATCTCATCGCCAAGCTGAATGACAACTCAACGGTGAGGCAGTGAGGCAGCCTCTGTCGGCGGGACTGTGAGTTTTTGTGCCTTGTGGCGATTGTACGCTTGGTTACAGCTACAAGCGGATCTCGTCGTTTTGTGGCTGGCACTTCTGTTGTATGGAATGCGGATTTCCAATACTGCGCTGGTCACACGCACGTACGTCTATCGCCTTACTACGTTGCGCCCGTACCTTGTGCACGTAGTGCGTGTGAGTTTTGATCCGCCAATGGCCCGCACACACACAGTTGATCGCATGTAATGTCCGCATGGCCCAAGCCTTCACAGCGGAACACAGCAGCAGCGGCAGCAGCCAACAACACCGGGAGTACGGGCTACGGGTAGCATGCACCGCTTGCAGGACTGCAGGAACATTCGGGGGTGCGGACGACCCGAACACCCTTTGCTTATATGAAACCGCAACATGCACCGTACACTCCGTCGTCGCACTCCTCTCATCAGATGCGACACACGAACGCCGTCCCCTTTCCTCCGTGCCGACACCCACTCCAGGCAAGCACCATGTGCATCCTGAGCACGAGAAAATTCGGCCCGTCAGAAGCGGCGGCCTTCTCGGCCGCTCTGTCCGGCAACACATCCCTCACGGAGCTCCTCGCCTCGGGGCACCCCTTGGAAGTCGCCGGGGCGTCGGCCTTTGGCCAAGCCTTGTCGAGGAATACCACGCTTCGATCGCTCTGCGTGGGGGACAACGATTTCGGCGACGAGGTTAGGGTGGTGTCACGGAAGAGGAGGGTCCCGGAGTAGGAGAGAGGTCAGGGTTTTCTGTGGGATGCGTGTTTGCGATCTGCTTGTTGTGTGCCACGCCCCTGCCGTTCGAATCAACTGCCGGTGTTCATCTCTCTGGTTCAACGAAGCAACTGAAGCGAGTTTTGTTTTCGCTGAGACGGAACGGCGCACGTGTTGGTTCTTGCACACGCTGCGTAGCGTTTTCGACATATTCCATGAGATGACGGCTGGTCGCTCAAACGGTTTCATCGCAGGGCGTGATCGCGCTGGTGGAAGGCTTGAAGCGGAACCACGGGCTCCTCGTCCTCGATCTCGAGTACAAGTCCATTGCCTCCGGAGAGGGGCTGCGCACCCTTCTCGAGACACACCCTACGTTAGCGGTGAGGATCTACAGAATTAAGGGAGTGGTCAGAGGGGGGCTTTGCCACCTGCGCACATGCTGGTTGTTTGCAAACTTAACCGTTTTTTATGTAGGCACCAAAGAATTCAGCCGTTACCCCAGAACACCGGTCGCCTTCCTTTGGCCACTACCCAATTGTGCTCCTGCAGCACGGAAGATTCATGTGCCCCCACATTGCTGGCGACGGCAAATGTCGATTGGCACCTACGCACCAGCAGTACCGTAGGCAGGGAGAAGTTGCAAAACATTGATGGAACCCGTCTTCCGTGTCCCCCCCAAAATAATTTCTCCCACGCTTTTTTAATTTACAGAAATATCGTTTTGTGTTGATGGAGGAATGCGATTAGTCGTGGCTTTTGTGCATGGTGCCTCTTGGTAGTGAAATCAGGGATTCTATTGAATTTTGTTTCGCAGCAGGTGTGTGTTGTTGTATGTTGAGCTGCAGCCCTGGCCGTTATCCCACAAGGGCTGCTGTGCCTCTGCTAATTCTTTGAGTAGAGGGCCGAGGACACCTTCTGGAGGCCGATGACGCCACATAGCTCACTTTTCATCAATTTTTTGCCGTATGGGATTATTGTTTCTAGCGGTGAAAAAAAGTGAGTTGTCTCCTGTTGAACAAGTGAATGCAGCCCACCCCGACACACACGGCCCTCGTTGCCGTTATCGTTTTTGCCATTGGTACGACATTGTCGTGCGCACCGCCTTCGTGCGGACATTTACCACATATTTCCTCGCAGATGCCTTAGAAGAGGCACGGGGCGCGTCCCGTACCACTTCGTTGTCCCGAAATAAAACCCGATAAAAACGCAGGACCTAAGGCTAGGACGCAACCAACTGGGTGAGGCCGGGATGAAGTCCCTGTCGGCCGGCCTCTCCCTGAACTCCACCCTCCTCCGTCTCGACGTCTCCGGCAACCAGCTCAACGCCGCGGCCGCGGAAGCTCTCGGCCGCGCTCTATGCACCCATCGCCCGGCCGCCATCGGAAACCAGACCGGAACAAGCGCCGTTGGCGGGAGCGACGGCGGGGGCGGCGGCGGGGGCGGCGGTTCCACCCCCCCCCCTCCCCTTGAGTTCCTGGATGTTTCTAGAAACCCCCTCGGGGACGAGGGCGGCGCCGCGCTCTTCCGGGCCCTGGCGACTTCGCCGACGCTCACGGGTCTAGTTCTGGCGGAGGCGAAGCTCGGACCCCTGGCCGCGGCCGCCCTCGCCGAGGCTCTCGTTCCTCCTCCTGCTTCCCCTCTGCCGGGAGGTGGCGGGCCGTCAGGCCCCGCAGAGCCAGATTCCGGGGAAATGACTCCTTTGCCACCACCACCACCGCCGCCGCCGCCGGCGAACGGGGGAGGCCTGCAGAAGCTCCAAGCCCTCGACGTCTCGAAGAACGAGCTCGGGACGGGGGGGGGCGCAGAGGTCGCGGGCGCGCTCTCCCGCGGCGGAGCCCCCCGCCTCGAAACGCTGTCGATGGCGTACAACGACGTCGGGGACGACGGGGCGGCGGCGCTCGGCAAGGCGGCGGGGCCGCGGCTGGCGGTGCTGGATCTGAGCGGGAACGCTCTCGGCGGGGCCGGGATCGGGGCGGTGTTGTCGGCTCCGGGCCTGCGGGAGGCAAAGCTATTCCACAACGCTTGCAAGGATGAAGGTACATAAATGGGAGTAGATGTGAACGGAAACGTGAGAGTAGGACGCCGACCATGCCGGGGAATGTGGGTGCTCGTGTTGGATGTGCGTCATATGTCTGTGTACTCGCCCCATGACCACTGCGTACTGTAGTTAGATTGTTGTATACATTCCGGCAATAACTGCGCTGACGTGTCGTGTTGTTGCGTCGTTGATTGTTCTCGTGCCTTGGATGCGTGCAATTGTATGCTACAAAAGTGCGTGGACGTCTTTTTTCGTGTTCGGTGCTACAGCGTATCATCCCTGTAACCGGCTGAAATCACACGCGTGTGACAGGGGTTCCGCTGGTGTTGGAGGCATTGCTGGCCGGCGGCACGTTGCAGACGCTGGACCTCGGCGCCAACGGCCTCACCGGTGCCGGATTCGAGATGCTTCTCCCTGGGCTGGCCGCCTGCAGCTCACTGCAAACCTTGGAGGTGACTTTGTATTTCTCGCTGTGCACATTGTAGTGGTCACATATTCTGACGCGATCGATGCTCATGCACGCTGTTCAAGTGGACCCGGTTTTCAACAGGAATCCCCACAACAGCAGTGTCATTTAAATGGGGATCTGCCTGAAGAGTGACAACGACATGAAGTACCGGAACCGTGTCGGCACAAAAGACTCTTCGTGTTGGCCTCTGTTTGGTCTACGCCCCTTCCGGTGTACTCTAACGAACGTTTTCGGGTGTACTATGTACTGCTGTACGTGCACAACGCGGCGTATGACAACTTCATCCAGGTTGGTGCGAACTCGAACGACGAAAGGGCAGAAGAGGCGGTGCGAAGATCCCAGGGCAGCAACCCGGCCCTCGACATTGCCTTCAGGAGGGGAGGGGAGGCCATGGAAGGCTCGGGGGCCCCGCCCGGCGTTGGCATCGGCGGGGGTACTGCCGGTGGCCCGGGGGCGGCGGCGTCTTGGCAGACTCAGTAGCGGCTGATAGACCGACTCATTAAATTCCGATGGTCTATTTCGTCGATTCGTAGCGTTGTGTTTTGCCTGCTGCTTCAGGGCGTGGTATAGGGATGGTTGGAGCATCGCGTACTTCCTCAACCCCCGCGGCGAGCTAGAGGAGGTTGAAGATGGAAGTGCCATCGTCTGCTCTTCGTAGAGCTTAAAGACTACCAAGTCGGTGATAATGATGTCCTCCACTTGCTTGCACGTTGCTGGACACTGCACGCATTGATTCCTGTGGGAGATGCTGCTCAAATTTTCTTGACCTCCAACAACATGCTGGTGCTCGAAGCGGGGAGAGTCAAGCAAAAGGTTAGACCGTTTTCCGTTTTCTTCGGAAGTTGTGAGGATGGAGTGGCCTCCAACGCGAAGTCTTTTGGGTTTTCCTCTTCAGCGAAGGAATGCACTCGAGGACGGGAGCCGGACGTGATGCGATATTGTTTCTATGAAAGTAGAGGTGCAGACGCAGATGGATCTCTTCCAATGTTCCCGACTCTGCCGTGTCAAGATGCGCCTTGGTGACGTAAGTTACCACCCCCTGCCTACCTGACCCGTGTTCTACTGCTACATGCATACACGTGGCCTTCTTTAGTTGTGGGTTTGTTTCTTCGCTGGTTGGGGATATTTTCGAGCGCACAAACAGAGCGTTCAGGGCTTCTGAACATGTACGTGGACGACTCAAGATAATACGTCCGCGTAGGATAACACCCCCCCACACAACAACCCACCGGTTGTGAATTGAACCGGATTTGTCCGGGTCAAAACATTGCATGAAACTCCTCTCGGATTCCAGAGAATGGGACGACACAAGATACCACACGCCCCCGGTGATAGCATACCGTGAGTGATAATTTTGGTAGAGGCCAGGAATGAATGTTATCGTCACCGGGGTGTGGTTTCTTGTGTCATACAGCAGTCGCTTCAATTTTAGCTCCTCATTCATCAGTCCCACCTCTCGCTCTAAGCGATCGGTGATGCTAATAATACGTTGTTGATCTCACATCACCGGACACGGAACACGTACACAGCAGCGCTGGTCGTTCGTACGTACGTGGTTTCATCCATTCACCTCCCCATAACATGGCTAGATTTGGGCTAAATCTCTAAATCGACTTCAACGACGTATGCATACGCAGCGACTCGCTCGCAGTGGCATGACGCACGACGTCGTGTGTGTGCCGTATCTTCCGAAGGTTGAAGGTAAAGAATCTACCTACCAGCGACCAGGAGCGAGAACGGTCTGAGGTCTGCCGCGATTTCATGTTTGTCTCTCCCTCTCTCTGCCGCGTGTGCATCCATCAAGTGCACATGCCGCTGTCAAGAGTAGAGCAGGCGCTTCGATACCCTACTGCCCGGGTTGCCATTGTCGTCTGCTGCCACACATGCGGCTGCTGCTGTTGTGTTCGTCGGTTGACCCGGCCGCTGCCGTGCCGCTCAAATCACGCTGCTGCTCACAAATGGATGAGATTCTGATTGGTCAATTCTCGATGACGACACATCATCCTTTCAGCTACCTCCGGAAAAATCAAGTGATTTTCGTCGCAAAAAAGAAAAAGAACGTAAAAAAAAAAAAACGTATGCCTCCCGTGGGCCCGTGGGAGCGGTGACACACCCCACACTAGCTACCCAACGCACGAACTGAGAGGGAGAGGATGGGCGAATTCGGGTCTAACCGAGCAGCATGGCTGATAGCTGGCTTCCTAGGGCGCAAGTTCATGAAGGTGGGTGGCTGCTGCTCTCTCAACCGCGCCTCTGTGTTCTATGCCGTCAATCGCTTTGGCGAAGTTTTCGGGCGGGCGCGAGAATAGAGCGCGCGCGCCAGTTGTATGTATTCATCTGGGTGTGTGCGTTGCTAGCGAAAAGGAGGAAGCTTCAGCTTTTGCTTCTACAACGCTGCTGGTGTGTGCGTCGACTCGGCAGGAGGCTGAGTAGCTCCAACAGTCCTCTGGCCGCTTTGCCTTCCTTCGGACACATGCCAGCGTTTTCGATTCGCTGCTGCTTCTGCTGCTTTGTGCAACGTGGAGGAAAACGTGGCGTGTGTCCTCTCTATGCTCTCGTCGTTGTTGCACCTACAGGATTTCCTGGGACGATGGAGCGTCATCCCGGTCTTGGCCGTAGCCGCCTGCTTGTGGAACAAGTGGAGAGCGAGGCAGCTCGAAGGAAAGCTTGAGCAGTGCAAGCTAGAGGAGGTGAGCCCTGCGAGACAACCGCGGAGGCAGGCCTACAGCAGTAGGCGGCCGGACGTTCCGGCTTGTCCCTCTCGCTGCTGTATGTACACACCAGCAGAGCTTTGTAACCAGAGCTTTGTATGCCTCACCCCGTTTGCTGGTCCTCCCCCTTGTTCTGGTCGGCAGTACAGCAGTATCATGGTTCAGGGGGATAATGATTCCGTTTTGAGGGCTCGGTTCGCGTCTCCTCCTTGTACCCGAGGCCTCCGATTCTGTTTTAGGCTCTACAAACGGAGGCCTTGAGGGCAACACCAAAGGCGATGTGTGAATGATCCACTTGGGATTCTCTCGGTCTATCCCTCCTCCCCTCCTCCTTCGTTGCTACTGCTGTACATTCCTCTTGCACACCCACCACGACCTCGTTGCTCTTTTTGCCTTGTTACCCCAAACGATGACATTACCAGACATCCCCCGGCGTTTCTGAAAGGCACATGGCGTGGCTTGCTTGCAGCCGCAGCAGCAAACACGCATCATGCACACTCTTTTGTCACTATTTATTAAATATGTGTATGAGCGTGTATCCATCGCAGTACATATAAGCAACCTTTTGAAAATCGAGTGGGATGCATTCCTCTTTCCACCCCACTGCTGCTACGAAATGAACTCGCGACGCGATTTTCTGCGGTCATTTGACGCCCGCATAAACACCCAACTCAACATGTTTGTACTTATTCGCGTATGATCGGCCCAGTTCAAATGCATAGTGTTCCGACACTGCTGCAACTTTGTCGACCATCTCCGAGATACTGAAACACCCAACCTCGAATGACCACTCGGTACCCCGCATGCAAGGACGTTGCACATCAGTCAGTAAATTTGATCGGGAGATACATACAGCAGCAGACACGCGGAGATACATGCGACGCACGACTGGCTAGCATCGTTATACCATGATCATCCGTGGCCTGTCTGCACCTGGCGTTCTTCTTCCCCCGCTGCTGCTGCTGCTGCTGCTGCTGCTGCTGCTGCTGCTGCTTCTGCTGTGTCTCACACGCCATGCTGATTGGATTTTACCCACTTCTGTGCTTGGGCACAGCAGTATGCAGCAGCCGTGCAGTCTGCGACGGCGTTGGTGACACTGCTGTGTATGCACTTGTACCTCTATTCAGTCCTTCGTCTTCTGTCTCCTGAACGGCTGCAACACGCCCCCCATCTCTCGTCCGTGGGGCTTGCTACTTCTTTCTACTCGACAGGTCCGCCGGAGCACACGGCGACAGCTGCAGCTCCTCCGGAAGAAATCGGCGGCCGGAGCGTTGCCCCCTCGAGCAGCAGCAGGCTGCACCTCCGTATTGCGCCAGCGACAACAACAACAACAGCGGAGACCGGGCGACCGTCTCGGTGGCATCCCCAGCGCCTCGATCTCCACGACTCCGAAGCAGCAGGAAGCGCAACGGCAACACCTGTCCCCGACCGCCGCCGCCGCCGCCGCCGCCGCCTCCGCTGCCGGCGGCGGTGCCACGGCAGCGTCAGCAGCCCCAAAAGACGCGCTGGCGTCGGAGCTGTGGGCATGGCTAGGAGGGGTTGGGTCTGGACGGCGGTCGTGCAGCGCAGACAGGCCTAAGTGCTCGTCGTCTCCACGTTCCGGCGGCGGAGGCGGCGGCGGCGGCGGCAGCGGCGAGTGGAGGGGCGCATTTTACAACCGTGAGATCCTGTTTTTTGTTTTTTGGTGGGCTGGCTGCTCTGTGATTTTGTGCGCCTATATAGCCAGTTGCCGAATGTTTGGTTCGTTCTGCGTAGAGCTTGGCGCCGCAATAACTTGGGGGTGGAAAGCCACCGCCGTGTTTTTTTTTTTCCGAAGCTCCTTTGTGCACCTCCACCTCGCTGTCTCCCACGCGAGGCTCCCCTATTAATTATCCGCCCTTCGTTTCGCTCTTGATTGAACCTACGACGCAAATCAGGGCGCACGTAACGACGTTGCTAAACACGCACCAAGAGGAGTAGTATATACAACGATCGATCCCATTTCCTCGATTCCCTCCTGCTACATAGGCATACCTCACGTACCCCCCCGCCCCCTGCCTTTTTCTTTTCTCGCGTATGTACATGTGTCGCTGCAACGCAGGCATGGGCAACCTCCCGCGACGAAACGCTTTCAAGACGGCCCGAGGCAAGGTTTACTTGAGAGGCGGCCGTATCGGATCGGGGGGGACACGCGAAGGGGTACAAGCCCCACCCCTGGGGGGTCTCGCGTCGGTGCGCGAAGAGGATGAGGGGGTAGCCGTCGTCTCCACTTGATTGGGGGGCGGGGGGG